TCGACTGTCGACTCTCTTTAGTTTGGCTTAACATCGATGACATGAATTCAGACAATCGGATGTCAATGAGGGCTAACATGGATTGGGTGTCGTTTTTACAACAATTTCTCAAATAATGATTCAAATTGTCTTCAATGGTGTCCACCCTTTCATTAAATGCATTCCACTTCTCGTTTTCATTGCTTTTCATTTTCGACTTAAAATCATTGTTTGAATCCTTAAGAGATTGCAAATCATATCTAATTGTTTGCATTTCTCGAATCAATTCATTGATCGCCTGTTGGGACGACATATCACTAGTGATTCCTTGCAAAGGAGTGAACGGCACGGGACTAGACATGTGTTGACTCATTAAGTATGCGATTCCTGTCAACAGAAGCACTGGAAGTATAAACCAAAGCGAAGGGCACTTATGTGTGACTCGTTTGACAGCATCGGGTGTCACGGAATCCATGAGTTTTGATGTGCTATTGATAGTAGTCTTGAATATATTGGTCACTCGTTTAACGACAGTAACCTCTTCTTCGTCCTCATCTTCTGATTCGTAGACATTCCTCTCGTTATTACCGGTAATTCTGTACCCATTGTGTTGATAATCATTGAGTATTTGATGATTTAATCTGTTATTCATTGCATAGTCGTCATCGTCACTGAATTCTGGGATAAAAACAATTAAAAGATACAAAAAATATCACAAAATTATGCTAATATATACCGAATGCCGGTTCAATGCCTTGACCTGAATTTGGTATCAAAATACCGGTGCTTTTGGTACCTCTCCTCCTATTCTTCTTATGCACTTCACAACCGGCCTCTGGATTACAGGACAGACATCTCATTACTAACACTATTATTACTCTAAATACTGCAATCCATACCACACTGACTGCCACCCAAACAGTTACTTCTGGTGAACATCTGTTCCTCTTTTTTCTTCTTCGGTGAGCGCTTCGTGTCTGACATCACAGACGACTCCCTCTCAGAGGTTTGGCTTTGAGTTTGCGATGAATTGATTGAATTCTTGAAGACTTCGAGTAATGACAGCGAACTCGACGTTGACTTTGAATGGGAAGAGCTTTTGACGACAGTAGAGGTGACACTCTTGCGAGACATGTTCGGCACCGACCACTCAAACGCCTTCAAGCGGTCTATCCGTCGATTGTAACTAAAACTCTTGGCGTACGTGTAATCAGTTTTAGACAAATCCCTATTCAGATACAAATCANGACATGTTCGGCACCGACCACTCAAACGCCTTCAAGCGGTCTATCCGTCGATTGTAACTAAAACTCTTGGCGTACGTGTAATCAGTTTTAGACAAATCCCTATTCAGATACAAATCAAACCACAAATTATCACCAATTCTTGCCATTCATTGCATCCATTCGTACAGACCTTTCACTCTGTGTTTGCTTTGAATATCTAATATATCTCTCGTGAATGAAATCAAGACTTAAATGAAGTTTCAATGAAAACAAATGCAACAAATCGTCGATAAATGTCTTTGAATACGACTTTTGCAAATCACTATCACTTGTATTACTGTTAAGGCAAACGTCATGCGAGTCATCCACTGATTCCGGAGTCTTCAGCGGCGTCTCAACCGATAGGCAATCAATTGGTGACCACTTCTGAAGCACTACTTCGTCGTCGGACTCGTCCGCAGAAGAAAACTCTTTATTATAATTATTATCAAAACTTTTTTGACACAAAACTTCAGTTTTTAAAACTTTTCTCTTTCTGTAAACCAACAAAAAATAAGTTTAAAATTAATGCAAAGTTTTGCCAAAAAATAATTTCACTATTTTTGGGGTAATGTTTGGTTTAATACCTGAAAAGCAAATCAAATCATAAAATAAATGAATTAATAAAACGACAAATAAATGCAAAAATGAGATGAATTTGAGTGACATTTAAATGAATGACTAAATGAATGACAAAATGAATGAATCAATGGATTAATGAATGGTACGAATGGATAGGGAAGACATCGACAACACCGGAGGAATTAGACTTAAATGAAGTTTCAATGAAAACAAATGCAACAAATCGTCGATAAATGTCTTTGAATACGACTTTTGCAAATCACTATCACTTGTATTACTGTTAAGGCAAACGTCATGCGAGTCATCCACTGCTTCCGGAGTCTTCAGTGGCGTCTCAACCGATAGGCAATCAATTGGTGACCACTTTTGAAGCACTACTTCGTCGCCGGACTCGTCCGCAGAAAACTCTTTATTATAATTATTATCAAAACTTTTTTGACACAAAACTTCAGTTTTTAAAACTTTTCTCTTTCTGTAAACCAACAAAAAATAAGTTTAAAATGAATGCAAAGTTTGCGCAAAAAATAATTTCACTATTTTTGGGGTAATGTTTGGTTTAATACCTGAAAAGCAAATCAAATCATAAAATAAATGAATTAATAAAACGACAAATGAATGCAAAAATGAGATGAATTTGAGTGACATTTAAATGAATGACTAAATGAATGACAAAATGAATGAATCAATGGATTAATGAATGGTACGAATGGATAGGGAAGACATCGACAACACCGGAGGAATAGATGGCAAACAAATGGACGACAATATCAATGACCACAAAATCAAATGGCATTTCAATTGTGTTTGAAAATCAAATGATAACTAATTTTTTGCGACAATTAGTGTTCACTCACTCTATATTCAAATCACATGTATTTGTATTTGTTTTAAACATGAGTCCATTGAAAGCAATGACTGTTCACTGCATAACAAACTGCACAACAGTTTAGCGATTGATTTGATTTGCAATTCAATTGCAATTGAAATATGAGTTCAAAATAAAGTCAATAATAATCGCAAAAACTATACAAACGTTTCGCAAAACTATTTGAAAATCGTGTCAACAAAAGGCTGTTTGGAGTGACAAACAGACTGTCAATCGGTTTTTGGGCACAAAAATAGAGATTTGTATGAAATATAGCGTCGAATCTAATAAACACTTTCAACAGTCAGTCAAACATTTAATTGAATAACAATTGATTGCATTAGTGACAAACAGACTGTCAATCGGTTTTTGGGCACAAAAATAGAGATTTGTATGAAATATAGCGTCGAATCTAATAAACACTTTCAACAGTCAGTCAAACATTTAATTGAATAACAATTGATTGCATGTTAAGTGCAATTAAGGCACAAATCAAATGTCACTGAAATGCAAACCAAACACAACTAAACACACGATACGAATGCAACGGAAAGTCAACCGAAACTGCAATCACTCATCGATTCACTCATTATTTACATTAAAAACTCGATTCGAAAATAACTTTTCGCTTCATTTTCGCATCAATTATGTCTAAAACGAGTCAAACGTTTTTGGGATTGAATTTCACATCAAAAAGCAAAACACAACGCGTTTGCAGTGAAAGCCATTGCAATGCATTGAACGCACACTGAGTGCACGTCATTGATGTGTGCAATGCATACACCTATGTGTGGGTCACGTGTGGCACACAATTGACATCCCTTTCCGTTTGTGGCTCAACACAAGTGTTTGCCATAAATCCAGTTCCCCATCGGTTTTGATTGTGTTTACATCGCATCCATCACTGAATCACATCCATGTCTACGTGAGTATCCCTTTGATGTCTAACACTTACGGTACTGCACACGATTGACACATAGGGCACTGGATGGTCACGCTTTCTCAGCCACGGTAGCCACGTCCACAAGCCCGCGTTCTTCTGCCGATGCCGACACCGGATAACATTCGCGCCGTATGGTCTGATTAACGTGAACGGCCGTCCACTCGACAACATCGAGCCACAGGTGCTTAAGTTTAAGCTACTGGAGCCCATTCTGCTGTTGGGACAGGACAGGTATGTCGCGCACACTGGCGCTGTCAGTGCCACTCATGGGTCACTCACGTGTCATCTGTACATATGGTTAGGTTCTCCGGTGTGGACATCCGGGTGCGAGTGAGAGGTGGTGGACACGTGGCCCAGATCTACGCCATACGTCAGGCCATATCGAAAGCACTGGTAGCCTACTATCAGAAGTACGTGGACGAGGCCTC